TTAGACCAGGAGGCAAGATTTCCGCAGCTCCGAACTTTGACCACGAAACAGAGAACTTTAGCCTTAAAATATTGAAAATATTGAATTTCAATTTGAGAGGGCGAACTGATCAACCTGCATGTGTTTAGCATATTGTAACTGCACCAAACCAGAAGTCCTTCTTCAGTCCGTATCTGCACTCTGGATTGACCTACAAAGCCCCGAGGTGGGTCCTCGGGGTAGACACTTCGATGCTTAAGTCAGCAATAATCGGGGCTACCTTTAGAACGGAGAAACAAGGAGCTTAGGGTTGGTTTTTATTACCTTTTGGCGTGGCCCTTGAGGGGTATTTATATGTTCCCATGAAGAAACCACGTGGCATGCCAAACAAAATATTCGGGATCTAATGTATATCTCCGGGCAGTTATTTTGGGATTTGATGCGTATCTCCAAGCAGTTATTTTGGGACCCGGAGATTGAGCCAAGCAAGATATTCGGGATTTGATGTGAGGATGTCCATCGTAACTGCTATGTTGCTGTTCGAGCGGGAAGCTCTGGATTTATTCCTTACTTCGGTTGTAAAAGAATTACTGCCGTACGTCCGAGGTTGAGCACCTCGGACCTGCCCTTACACTATTCCCCCCCCGAAGTCATTCATTTGTGAATGATGTTATTGGGAGTGATAGGGGTAGTGCATAAATAGGAGTGAAAGAAAATACAAGATAGATAAGTTACAGAGATAAAAACGAAAATCAGTACCGCAAAAGTATGTATAGCCGTAGCGGATAATGAAATAAAGAGCCATACCAAGGAACAGTGGCTGGAGCCGTAATGAAAATAATGACCGGAGTCATAGTGGCCGGAGCCAAAGTAAAATATGTGAGACGGGGTCACTATGGCAGTAGCCGAAGTGAAACGTGTGACACTGGGTCACTGTGGCCGGAGCCGAAGTAAAACGTGTGACACTGGGTCACTATGACCGTAGCCGAAGTAAAATGTGTGACACTGGGTCACTGTGGCCGTAACCGAAGTAAAAGGTGTGACACTGGGTCACTGTGGCCGTAGCCGAAGTAAAAGGTGACTGGGTCACTGTGACCGTAGCCGAAGTAAAAGGTGTGACACTGGGTCACTGTGGCCGTAACCGAAGTAAAACGTGTGACACTGGGTCACTGTGGCCGTAGCCGAAGTAAAAGGTGTGACACTGGGTCACTGTGGCCGTAGCCGAAGTAAAGCGTGTGACACTAGGTCACTGTGGCCGTAGCCGAAGTAAAACGTGTGACATTGGGTCACTGTGGCCGTTGCCAAAGTAAAATGTGTGACACTGGGTCACTGTGGCCGTAGCCGAAGTAAAAGGTGACTGAAGGCACCAGGTCAGGTGCCGAAGTAAAATACTTGTGCAAAATTTAAAATGGATAAAAGTGAGCAAGAGTGTTGAAATGGGCTTAAGCGGGCCCATCTGAGAGGTCTGACAAAGAGGTGGTGCGCGACGCGACAGCTGTCCTCTGAATGACGTGCGTAATAAATGCCGATGTAAAAAAGATAAATGTAACAGTCCAACGGGCAGATGTAAAAAACAAACCGTTGAGTTCGAAACGGTACCGTTTGGGATTAACCGTCGAATTCGAAACGGTGTCTTTGCAGCCGTTAGATGGGTTAATCACAGCCGTTGAGGCGTATTCTGTCTTTGGTATAAAAGGCTAGACTTCTGTAAAGAGGGATTTTTA